ACAACATTCATTTATATACAATGCTATTACACCAAGCATACAAACATCGTCTTACAAACATATTTAGCAAACTAGCATTCGAAACCACCGAAACAACAAAAGGATTAGATGGCTTGGTTAACTTAACTTCACTATAGATCGATCTATTCTGCGCAACCCCTAAAATACCCTAGAAAGAAACTACTGGTCGCCCTCTTCCAATCTGCTCCTGAGTCTTCTGGCTTCTGCTCCGGAGGATCACCTACAGCTCCACTGGGCATCATGGGCGGCTCTTCAAACTCCAAAAAGAGGAGGCGGGCCTCCTTGGTTTAAGGCTGGGGGTCTGAAAGTGGTGATTATACAACCGTGAGACGAATCTCAATAAGTGTATAACCCCAAACTCCACATAGGCTCTCATGTACCGCCAAACGAAACACGCATAACACACATCAATCAACCATACTAACAATCACATGCGATCCTACCTGAGATCCATCATGCACGTTCCTGCACGTTAGATAACAACACAGCCAACATACCACAGTAATACATCACAGTCGTGCGCGTGCCTCAATTATAAGGCAAAACCCACTTGGGCACGTCCCATACCATGCCTAGCAGTTTTTACCCCATAGTCGAGCACCACAATACGCGATACCAACCACACTCGCACACGAACTCACACCATGTATCAATTCTCACACGCCAAATCAATTCCAACTCATTCTCAACTTTCCACCACTACCGCGCCCGTGTAAAACGCATCAGGCCAACGGTCTTCTGACCTCGTCAGGCATCGCCACCCCGTCGGCCGGGCATCGTCACCTCGTCAGGGACGGCATCGTCCCGCGTAAACGAACACGCCTCAGGACGGAACCCACCCCGCGTAAACGAACACGCCTCAGGGTACCACTTTTCCAACCATTCCAATCATCTCATATCATCGTACCACACGAGCCACGCGGCCACACATATCACACCGGCACACAATCACATGCCCCACATACATTTCACCATCACACAATCACACCACACGGTCACACATACCCGAACATTAATTCAATGCACCCAATTCAACCATTTCAATTCAGCCCCTAGAACATGCAGATACACATTCAGGCATCAATTCACGTCACGAGGGCAGCAACTATTCAACCTCGACATCCCCACCATTCCGCTCATAAAAATGAACATCCATAGAATCATGGTAAATCTGGGCAGTTTACACAATGACCGAAATCCCATCAAAATAACTAGTAATCGAACTCCAAAAATTCTAAATTTTGGATATATCATAAAAAACATCTTGATAAACATTTCTTATGAAGAACACGAAATCCGCTTCAATCTGTAACAATGCCTTTTTGTTCCTCGAAATCAGACCAAAATCAGTTCGCTCTAACAGACTGTTTTGTCCTCAAAATACATTTCTTTCAACACCCAAATCACCTTGAAAAGCTTTGAAATTTTTATATGTTATAGAAAAGAAAGTCACCAACAACTTTTGTGAAGAAATTTTATTGAAAATAAATCTGGAAAATTTTATAAAAATTCGCCAAGACAAGAAGGTCGGGATGAACAGTGTTCCGGCAGTTTTAAGACGGTCTGAAAATGGGTTTTCGTGCAACCCAAATGGCCTCCAAAAATTCCAAATTTAAAATATGTTATAATTCAAGATGTTGGGAGCAACTTTCATGAAGAAAACTTCCTCAAATTCTGCCCCCAAAATTCTCCACAAAAATAGCAAACCGAACGGGTACAGTAGTCACGAATCCGAGAATCACACCAAATCTCACGGATTCAAACCGTAATCGTTCCATATCATCACGGCCCTATCCGAACCTCCCAAACCTCATATTTCCACCCCTCAATTCATTCCACGACTACCGAACATCCAGCCTCACTCCAAGTCCCAAAACAACCACACAAATCACCTAAACCGAGCCCCAAACACGTCCTACAATACCAGAGGTCCTAGGGAGAGTTTGGGGAAGTCACTTACTTTGAAAAGGCGGACAAACGGGCTGGACAAGGGGCTAGAACAGCCGGCCCAGCAGCAGCAGCGTCGCCGGCCTAGCTGGGTTCACGCACGGGAAGGGAGGGAGAGAGAGAAAACCGATCGGTGGGGGTGGGTGAGGAGAGAGAGAGCGTGGGTGAAAATGAGAGAGGAAGAGAGAGAAAAAGATATTTAAATAGTGCCCCCCAATAATTGCACTCCAAAAATTACCAAAATATCCCTCTAACTACCCCCTCCGATCCAATGGCCAAGATTTAATCTTATCCGAATCCGACGGCCCACGATCAACCTTATCCAATAATTCAAGGGGCAAAAGAGTAATTACTCAAAAAGGGAGAGGGGCATTCTTGTCCTTCAAATTTTCGGCCATACTGGGTACTTCTCAGTCCCCCGACTTAATCCAGTCCTCAAAATTCGTTCGCGGTCCCAGGGGCAAAACGGTCATTTTTCCGGTCCCGAACCGAAATCCATTTTTTTGCAGAAATGGGTGGCCCCAAGGTTAGCCAAGCCAAAAACGTCATTGGCCGCTCAAAACTGTCACTTTCAAAATTCTCGATTCCCGGGCCCGAATTTTAAGAAATGACTAAAATCGAACAATCGCAACTTTTAGCTTATCTCTCGCTAACGGGTGGCTCATTGGGATTACGCGCTCTCGACCCGTGACTGACACTAAGTCAAATCACGTTTAAGTTTGCTCGAACCAAGGCAACCTCGATTGTCATGTAATTGCGAGAGTCTGTCGCTAGTTTCCTTCGAACACGATCAATCAAATAGATCGGTCTCTGTTGGCCCAAAACATTCCCTCGTCAATCCTTATGGCCGAAGGTCGAACCTAGGTCGAGTTATTTGGTCGTGCAAACTCAATCCCGTGATAGCCTTACCCCTAAGGTTAGCATCCCGAGAATGCGTGGTCCTGGGTGAGATCTCACTATAAGTACATTGGCCAAATATTCATTTCATAAATCCCGGGAAAAGGATCGAAAATTCATACTGTTACAAAATGAATACACTTCAGGCCCTTTATTTGGAATTTTCCCTTGAAATAAATGAAAGACGCCATTCTGCATTCCTTCCTTCAACCGATGTGCATGTACCATCTCGTTATTTACAATTTTTTTTGTACTTGATTACAATGAATCCTTATCACGTAGTGAAACGAATTTATAATGTGTTATGACGTTTTCATACTCAATTATGACGGCACATTGCATATCACATTAGAGGTGCGTTTGGTAACTGGCCAAATAGTGACTGATTCTATTTTTTTGTTCCCGAGAATTAAAAAAGAACAAAAATCCGTTCGATAAATTTTTTGTTCCCGAGCACAAAATTGTTCCCAGAATCAGTTTTGGAACATAATCAAGAATAAAAAAAAAGTTGATTCTTGATTATGGGAACAAAAAAAAAGAATCAAAACTAACAATCGAAACCGACATGCTCGTGGAGTTCACACATTCTCTGGACCGCTGCTGCTCCTTCACCGGCGCTTTCTTCTCCCGACGACGGCTGCTCCTTCACCGGCATCTTCCTTCACGATGACGGCTGCTCCTTTACCGACCAAGCTTCTCGTTCGAGGTGAGTTCTTGCTGATGACTCACAACTATGGGAGGGACGCCGTCGCCACTGTTGAGCGAGGGCAGCCCTCGCCGATCTGGGCAAGGGCTCACTCGACCTTTGCCATCACCCAGATCGGTGAGGGCGACACTAACTTGAGCGAGCTGCCAGCGCCGCCCTTGCCCAGATCGGTGACGACTCACTCAAGCAAGCGCCGCCGTGCTTGCCAATCTTTTTGTCCTAGCTAGCCGTAACTCACAACGTGTGTGTACAAATTGACGCGCTCCATCTCTTTTGGCTCGACCCTCCTTAGCTCCCCTCTATGCAATCATCGCATTGCCTCGCCGCCTCCACTTCGCCGTTCATCTCAAGTACATTCTCGGATCACCCTCCAAGAGAGGCAGCAGGTCATGTGCATTTATGGTTATCGTTCGTATCGTTTCGATAGCTTAGAGCCTTGTTGAGAGTTTCGAGCCTGTTTGGATAATGGAGTTCTTATGCTGGTTGATTGGTGCGATTGTCAGGCTTTTCTTAGCTGGTCCACTGGTTGGATTTTGGTTTTAGAGATTTTGATTTTTCACGGGCTATAACCCTCTTGACTAGCTCGATGACTTGTTGATCTTGATTCCGATTTCTTTGGTGGGTAATTGAATATGAGCTCTAGTTGGGTTTCTAGTAATGGGTGAATGCAGAGAATGCGACCATTCTCAAACCTTGATTCTTGTATTACTTCAACTTAATTCTTACTTGCTGCTTGGATCTAGAGAATGAGACGTGGAGAATGCATATCTTTTTTGGTGATGGTGTATCCCTATGCCCTTTTTCTTTTCCCCTTCTTTGTGCTTTTAGCTTTGCCAGAGCATATTCTTCTTTATTTAGCTCGAATTATAGCTTGATATTGTATTTTCCAAATTTTCTCATGCTGCTGCTTCTCTTGAGAATGGTTGCATATATTGCTTGTAATTTCTACATGACTATATTATTGATTTAATGCATAACTCATATGATGCTCAACCGGTCAATGTTACATGGCATCTCAAAAAGAGATATTCAATGCAAAGTGAACTGAGCCTTTAACCAACCTGTTTGTAAGTTTTTTGGTTGAGGAGGTCAAAAAGGGAAATCGCACCTCTTCTACTTACAACAAAGCTGGGTGGATTAACATATGGGCAGAATTCATTAAACAGACAGGATACTAATATACCCTACTTCAGTTAAAGAACAAGGTGAACAAACTGAGAAAACAGTATGATAGTTTTAAGAAGCTTCTTTCACAATCTGAATTTGGCTGGGATAATATGAATAAACAGTAGTTGTTGACGATCCAAGTATATGGGAATCTCACATCAAGATATCTTTTAACTTTTGATTATTTTGATGTCATTGTAGATGTAAGTTTTAAAAGGTTTGATTATGTTGTTGACATATGTCATTATTGTGAAAATTGCAGGATAATAGTGGGTGCGTAAAATTCAAGAAGGATAGATTTCCTCAGTATCCCGAGTTGTGTATTGTATTTGGTGGTACATATGCTACTGGGGATCATGCCACAGGAAATGCCGAAGATTTGACGGTGCCAGAGGAAAGTGACAATGGTGGTGGCGATACAAACGGTAATCCAGAGGACTTAAGTGATCACCATATTAATGAGAGAGTTTTTACATCCGACAATACTACAGCTCTAGTTCATGACAGTGGACCCCTTCTCCGTATCCGCTGTCATTGATGTCCTAGTTAGTATGCTTGAGTTGGGGCAATATCTTTACAGAAAAGCAGTGAAACGAGCATGTGTTAATGCCGCGTGGAGGGAGGCTTTCATCAAATCCCTAGCTGAAAGGAGAAATGGACTTCTTCTATGTCTTCGGTAGATGTTGGGAAATGTACTGTGAATTACGTGGGGTTTCATTTGATTGTATGACTTATGTTAGTACTTGATATTTGGTTTTTAGAGATATTGATGTCGAGACTCTTGTACTTTTGTGGTGTCATGGTATGACAAACTGCTTGGGATTTATATATTTGGTTTGCTTTCACTCTACGACTTATGTTATTAGTTGTTATTGGATTTTTTTTTTCAGATATCTATATTGATATTCTTGTATTTGTGTGATGATATAGGTACCATGGAAGAGAGATCAAATAGTGTTTCTAATGGGCAGGTAGATCTAGATGAACAATTCTTGGATAATGATGATTTTCACATATTGATAGCATGATTGTGCATCGTTGCGGTGATCATGCCCATGCATACAAAAGAACCTATTAGGGATAGCAAACTATCAGGACCCGAGTGGATAAGAGAGATTGTTTATGGACATTCAAATAGAATATATGAAGCCTTCAGGATGGAAAGACATGTTTTTTTTGAACCTATGTGAATTAATGAAGGCAAAAGGTTGGTCGAAAGATAGTTGGTATGTTAGGATAGATGAACAAGTTGAGATCTTCTTATCTATAGTTTGTCACAATAACTCCAATAGAGATTTATCTGACAGATTCTAACATTCAGGAGAAACAATTAGCAAATATTTTAATATAGTGTTGAAAGCAATTCTCAAACTCTCAATAGAAGTTATCAAACCACCGTCCTTTGATGTTGTCCCATAGGAAATTCTTATGGATCCTAATGATGAACGATACTTCAAGGTATGGTTTTTATTTAGAGTTTACACTATCAAATACATGTAGTTGATAATCTTGTATAACATTAGTTTTTCATAAATGCATAGGGCTGGGTAGGTTCTATTGATGGCACTCATATAAATGCTTTCATCCTTGTGTCTCAGTACGTCCCATTTAGAGGCAAGAAAGGGAATACCAACCAGAATGTGTTGTGTTTTTGTTTATTGGATATGAAGTTTGCTTTCATGTATTCTGGGTGGGAAAGATCTACCAACGATTGTCGGGTAGATGAACAATTCTTGAATGATGATGATATTGATAGCATGGTTGTGCATCGTTGCGGTGGACATGTCCATGCATACGAAAGAACCTATTAGAGATAGCAAACTATCAAGACCCAAGTGGATAAGGGAGATTGTTTATGGACATTCAGATAAAATATATGAAGCCTTCAGGATAGAGAGACATGTTTTTCTGAACCTATGTGAATTAATGAGGGCAAAAGGTTGGTTGAAAGATAGTCGGTATGTTAGGATAGATGAACAAGTTAGGATCTTCTTATCTATGGTTTGTTACAATAACTCCAATAGAGATTTATGTGAGAGATTCTAATGTTTAGGAGAAACAATTATCAAGTATTTTAATATAGTATTGAAAGCAATTCTCAAACTCTCAAAAGAGGTTATCAAACCACCGTCCTTTGATGTTATCTCATAGGAAATTCTTATGGATCCTAATGATGAACGATACTTCAAGGTATGGTTTTATTTAGAGTTTACACTATCAAAGACATATAATTGATAATATTGTATAATATTAGTTTTTCATAAATGCATAGGGCTGCGTAGGTTCTATTGATGGCACCCATATAAATGCTTCCGTCCATGTGTCTCAGCAAGTCCTATTTAGAGGCAAGAAATGGAATATCACCCAGAATATGTTGTGTGTTTGTTCATTTGATATGAAGTTTACTTTCATGTATTCTGGGTGGGAAGGATCTGCCAACGATTGCCGGGTGCTTTCGGCAACACTTGAGACTCCTCGACTGCAATTTCCTAGACCACCACTAGATATTTGCTTTGTCTATAAAAAGAAACTTTCTTTATGATTATATTATGGTTGCATATCATAACAAATTTATATATACCATGTTAAAGGCAAATACTACGTGGTAGATTCTGGTTATGCATCACTTCTGGGATTTTTAACTCCGTTTAAAGGTGAACCGTATCATTTGAATGATTGTAGGGGACGTGGGAGACGGCCAACAACAGCAAGAGAATTGTTTAACCATAGACACTCTTTATTAAGGAATGTCATTGAGAGGTCATTTGGGGCATTAAAGAATCGCTTCACCATTTTGAGACACATGCCTCTATTTACAATAAAAAAAAAACAAGCATTTATTGTAATTGCATCTTGTGCTCTTCATAATTACATTCGTGAAGAAAATAGAATTGACAAAAACTTTTCCCTTTATAGAGATCCGGAATACCCATTTGGATCTAGAGAAATGGAGGTTGCAGATGATACACCACATGAGCAAGCAGCTGAAATAAACATGCTTAGGAAAAGTATTGCAAATAAAATGGCAAGGGATTACAATATACCTAATATTCCATGATATTGTGTTTTTGACTTTTGTAATATTGTTTTTAAATACTAGACGGCGATGGGAGAGGATCCTTATGTGTCTTGAGTTTTTGAGTGTCTCTCTTGTTTGCTGACTTGTTTAAGTACGACCTTTAGGCTGTACACATAAACACGAAGTGATGAATTTCAGTGGCGTTTCTTGTATTTATATAACCATGTTTATATATATCACCATGAGATGGGAGTAATTCATTTGGTACTCATCAATATCGTTGATGGCCAAGAAAAGAGTTGCCCCTTAGGAAGCACGAAAATTGTTCTATGGTTGGTTTGGCGAGGGATTGAGTGCTGTTCGGAACCATTGGGCAGAGTAATACACCCAAAGCTTGGCCGTGAACTTCAAATTGAGATAAAACACTAATGGGAGTGATAGAGGGAAGAGTTTATATCAAGTATATACCATGTTTATACATATCACCATGTTCACCATGTTTCCTTCACTTACAAGAAAAAAGTAAATTGGTTAGTGCTCCATGAGAATTAAATACCATGCATAAAAAAACACTTGAAAAAAATTTGGAATATAAATTTTGTGTAGTTATTAAACGTATTTCTATTCTTTTTATATTCCAGGAATAGAACTTTTTGGGTTCAAATGCTCATAAATTATTCCCTGGTACAGAACAAAAAAAATCATTTCTTCACATAAATTGTTTCCGGGAATAGAATGGTTACCAAGCGCACTCTAGGGGTACTGTCGTAGTGCCCATGCGTGCTCAGTTTAAAGAGAAAAAAAATTCATATGTATTTATATAATGTAAGGAAAAGTACCTCTTTATTTTGCTTCTAGATTTCCTGAATTACTCCTCGCTTCTTTCTCTCATACCCACCTATTTGTTAAATAGCCACACACTTTCTTTCTCTCTTAGAATTTCTAAATTATCCTCTCTTTCTTTATCTTGCCCTAATCAATCATACGTTAATTACGTATTCTCTTTCTATACATAGTTACCCAATTATGTGTACGCATGCGGTGCGTGCTTTAACCCTAGTTTTCTTTTCAACCATAAATACATGATAACTAATATGGATATCGATCATCGAGAAGCAAACTTCTTCATAGTTTAATAAAATTGTTCATTTTCTTTTCACTCCTCTTTCATAAAATAGATGAGATTTTATCATAAACACGGTCTTTATAAAAATTTATTTAGATTCGCCTTTCTCTAAGAAGCCAATAATTCTAGTGTATGGCTTGAGAACTCGAAGAAACTCCATTGCGACCCTGGCAGAGCTCAAGCGGCCATGGCTAAGCTTGACGAAGTTCAAGCAATAACGGCTATAGTCGAGCTTCATCTGTGAGCTCGATGGATTTCGAGTGGCCATTGCTAAGCTCGAAAGGCCATAAGCATGAACTTAAAGAAGCTCTAGTTGCCATAACCCCGAGCTCATTGAAGTTCGAGCTGCCGTGGCCGCAATCTCGAAGAAGCCTCTAGTCACCATGTCACTCTCTTGCTTTTTTTCTCAATTTTTATTTCGGCTAAAGTGGCGACGCCAAATAAAAGATTTTCACCTTTTTTAATAGGACCTGTGTATTGAGATGTCCAGCTCAAAATGCCAATGTCCATGTTAGCAAAAATCAACCGGCAATAGAAAAATTATAAGGAAACATTAATGGTAGAAATTTTTTAAAAATACAAGGACGATTTTGAAATTAAAAAAAAAATAAAAGGACGGTTTTGATTTTTGGACAAAAGTATTGAGAGACATTTCACTGAATAAATACAACATGAATTCTTCAACCAAAAAAATGGTTAATATCACCAAAAATTCGAAATCAGTATATGTGTGATAAGTTTACTTAAAATTAATTTTTTGACTACTAAAAACTCCAAACTGGTATACATATGACAAAAATACCCGAAATTAATTTTTTTGCCACGAAAAATCCCAAATCGGTGCATTTATAACAAATATACCCTTCATTAAATTGAATTAATATCATAAAAATCATAAATTGATAAATCTGTGACAAACAAATAGGTAAAACCTTAAACTGGTACATCCGCCAACTGTCACATGTTATCTAACTCAGCAATTTGACGGTAAAATTTAACAGAAATCAACTGAGGGTAATAAAAAAATTAATTTATGGTAAATTTATTATAAATGTACCATTTTGGGGTTTTTCGTGGTATTAGATATTAATCCAAAATAAGAAAAATGCAACATGAATTCACGGAAGGGCCGTACTGTATTTGGCTCTCTCAACGGTATTTCTCACCCTTATCCGAAAAATCCGAGGGTAATTTGGGTTCAAAACCTGCCTCGAAAAGAGATCGAACCTCCATGATCAGACCTTGATTAGGGTTTCCTCGGTCCGATCCCCCTGAAATTCATCATCGAATCGAATCCATTTTCACTATCATTTCGAGCTTTGATCTGGTTTTCCGAGCTCGATCTCCATTGCCGATCCGAGATTTTCGGGGGATGCGGCGCGAAGATCGTGGCGCCTGAGTTCGTTCCGGGGGGGTACGACGACGATGAGGGGCTCCTCGTGTCCGGAAGATGGCGATACGCCTTCGACCTCGAGCTCTTCGCAATCCCAAAGGCAGCAGACGCGCCCGCCTCGAGCTTCTTCCGGGCAGCCGACGAGCCAGCGGAGGTGAAAAATTGAGCTCCCCCTGTTTTGAGCCGTCGTATGTTTGTTGTGGCGATTTCGGATGCCGACGAGCGTATGCGCGAGCGTTCGAATGTGGGGGTCTATGGCGTGCTTCCGGGAGATATTGGGGCGACGCGCGGTCCGGAATGGCTTGAGTTTGCGTGTGGAATTGGATCTGCGTGTGTGATTTTGGAAATGAATTCCCTTTTGATAAATTAGAAGTTTGGCCTCTAATCTGGTCGAATGAATTAGGAGTTTGGAAACATCTACTGGGGCCACCAATGGAGTTCTTTGAAATGAAATTCCCTTTTGATAATATGGGATGCTGCGGGGCGATGTCATTGATTTTTGGTTCGAGTTCTGCGGTATCTGTTAGAATTTAGAGGATTGGGTCTCTTAGTTGGATATGGTCATTTAATTATAGGAAGGATCCTACCATTCTATCGAAACAGTTATCCAGCCCCATGCTCTGTTCAGTAATCCGTCGGTGTTTGTGGGTCCCAATCAGTGCAAGAATTGATCAACTCTTGTATGCATCGTGTGTCTTAGGATTTTGGTGATTATGCTTGCTTGTGTGAAATAATGATAGTTCTAGCTGTTTAACATTATGCTATGACAACCTAGACTGAGGAGGTGATCGATTAGGTTACCACAAATGATGTCACAGGCCAAATTGTTTTTTACATTCTCGGGGAATGATTTTGTCTTTCCAAGAAAATAGGGCTTGTTTTGTACTGTCAATGTTTGAGGTTGCAAGTTATTAACAGATGTTGCGTTGTAATCCATTGGAAATAGGCAATTGGTTGAATGTTGTTGAAGGCCATTGTGGGTGTTATAGTTGAGTAATATTGTACGATAAGTTTGATTACGTGTTGACATGGGCTCTTATTGAGTTACTGCTCGTATTCCATGTTCCACTGGTTCTTGTGGGATATCTAGGAAAGAAAGGATTATTGAGTGCACAATTGCTGGATTAGGTCTGCAAGATAATATTTGATTGCTTTATAGGAGTCTAAAAGGGTCTCTAATGCATGTATATCCAACATTTTACAAATTTGATACATCTTAGGAAGCGGATGTACTAATAAGAGACTATTGCTACTTCTTTTATTATCTGTAATCTTGTGATTACAAGAATGGACTCGAATAGCTGCTTTGGCTGCTGCTTACCAGGCAGCTCTCATTAGTTATTTGTTTTTGTTGTAAACCTGTGGACTCAATTTAGGGTTTCAATTTGGGGTTTCTTATGAGAGTAACTCTAGGTGCAAATTTGTGTCTCAAATCAACCAATAGTGGTTGCCACTCCACCAAATTTAGTCCACGACAGTTGAAAGTATCTAATATCTGATCATACAACTATAAAAGAGGGTAGAATGGAGTGCTCATTAATGGATTTTAGCATTAACTTTTGCAGTTTAGTATTTTAGATATACTTCGATTTGTAGAAGCTGATAGGCCCTTTGAAAGTGTTACTTTTACTTAATTTGTCATAGGATAGTCTACTTAAAAAATATGTATTCATCATAATAATGTCATAGGAATGCAATGTTCGTTTATTTGCAATGATTTATGACATGAAACAGAGTTGTAAATAAAAATAAGGTGCATCGCACTAAGACTTCTGCCAATGTATAGAACCATTGTTCTTTTTGCCATACATGTAGCTTGCAAAGTCTAATGTTTGAAGATGTCTATGTCTTTTGGTAAGTCTAGGGCTCTAATCAATATCAATTTTTATTTCTCCCTTGCTTATTTTATCATTTTTGGTAGACAATGGTCATCTGTTTCTTCAGGTTTGTATTATAAATGAACATTTAGATCAATAATGATTGTAAATATATTCTTCTATCTGTTGTTTGTTTTGCGTAGTCTTAGACAGTGATGTACTTCTGAAAGAATTTATCAAATTGAGACGATAGATGCATGCAGACATCTCCATGTCAATAAGAATTAAGAAATTCCAGTTCTCTTTCTACCTCAATTAGATATATAATTTCCTTGGAAAAGAAATTATTGCTTCATTAATTTGATGCATGGGAACTTATATCTCTCGAAAAGAAAGGTTTAGTATTGGCGTTCTTAAAGATCCCACGCCCTTATTTATGGTTGAATAAAAAAGAAAAAAGGCATTTTGATGTGAAATTTTCATTTCATTAGTCTCACATGATTTCCTAGATCTATTTTAAGCAGCAAGGGCCATCTATTTAATCTCGATGTTTCCAAATGTAGGAATCCTTGCTTATTCTGTGAATAAAGTACATAAAATATTGCTAAAGAGTCCCTAAATTTTTCTTGGGTCAAAGCCTAGTTATTTTAAGCGTGATAGTTGTCCTTTTGGTTTATGGTACAACATGTACTAACATGTCTCTTATTAATGAGGGAACCTTTCATTTGCATCAAACCATGATTTATCAAATCATAAATTCATCAGTGAAAATTACCAGAAACAACATGTATTGTCATTATACCAAGTTTTCTTCGTTCATGTATCTCCTTATATATGTGTGTCTTTTTTCAGCAGTGGCAATGTCTTTAAACTCTTAGCACGAAGAGAGGTCTCTCCACAATCAAAACATTCTTTAAAGAAGTTTTGGGGAGAAGCCTCAGAGTGTCAGCTCTATCCCTTCCAGCAAAGTCGTGAAGCAGTAAGAGATGTAAGGCGAAGTCTCATCTCATGGTATTTTCTCAAACCTAGAATGTGATTTTCTTTTGGGAATGTGGGCTTTGGTATATTTTTTATGTACTTTTCATATGTTGTTGCACTTGACGGCAATCCATGGCATACAGCAATTTGCCAATGTTCTATCGACTTTTTTCAGCATACTCGTTTTGGCAGGGTAGAGGCATTCTCGCTGCAACATTTGTCTGCCAAATATTGTCCCTTTGTGCCTCCTCCAAGATCTACGATTGCTGCAGCCTTTAGCCCTGATGGAAAAATACTCGCTTCTACACAGTAAGTAGAAGATCCTTATATGTTTGGATAATGGCGGCCACTATTAATATTGATTCTTATTCCAGCTTAAAACAGAGCATATATCATATATCAAGTTTGAGTTGATTTTTTTGATTGCAGTGGAGATCATACCGTCAAACTTATTGACTCTCAGATGGGGAGTTGCTTAAAGGTGTTAAGGGGTCATAGGAGGACACCGTGGGTGGTAAGCCGCCTCTGTTATAAGGCTCCCTGTGCATGCAATGATTTGATGCTGTACTTTTAGCTTTGTATGAGTGGTTTTTCAAATTTGCAGGTAAGGTTTCACCCCTTGTACCCAGAGATCATAGCAAGTGGCAGTTTGGATCATGAAGTTCGCCTGTGGGATGCAAATACTGCAGAGTGCATAGGATCTCGCAATTTTTGTAGTTCTCGTTCTGATTTCCCTTTTCTTTAAGAAACTGTCATGTTGGGACTTGTTAAGAGGATTATTTGTGTCTTTGTCGTTTCTACAGATCGTCCTATTGCATCCATTGCATTCCACGCCCAAGGAGAACTTCTTGCTGTTGCATCTGGTCACAAGGTGGGGATTTTTTATGTGTATTTTTGTGGATTGTGAACTTTGGATACTTTTAGGGGCTTTGACCTGAAATTTGTTTATTAGTTGTACATTTGGCACTACAATAGAAGTGGAGAGACATCATCACCAACTATTGTTTTGAGGACACCGCGATCTCTTAGGGCTGTGCATTTCCATCCGCATGCAGCTCCATTTCTTTTAACAGCTGAGGTGAAGTCTATTTGGTTAGAACCTTTCTTTCCTCCACCATAGCTTCTCTTGATGTTATCATCTTATCTATTTGCAGGTCAATGACCTTGATTTGACAGATACAGCTATGACCCTTGCAACTTCTCCTGGTTATTTGCACTACCCTCCTCCTACTGTATATCTTGCAGATGCTCATTCTAATGAAAGATCTAGGTTGGCGGATGAACTGCCTCTCATGCCTTTACCATTATTGATGTGGCCTTCCTTTGCTAGAGATGATGGAAGAGCACCCTTGCCGCACACAGATGGGGATGTTGGTCTTAGTGAACAGCAGAGGGTAGACTCATCTTCTTCAGAGCGCCTTGTGGCATATTCAATGCCATCAGGGCAGTATGAACTCCATCTGTCTCCAATTGAACCTAGCAGCTCTCCTTCCATGCATGAAGAGACGGGAACTAATCCTTACTCTAGTGTAAGGGAATCTGAAGTAACTCAATCTGCAATGAACAGTGTGCATAATATGGAAGTGCAATCTGAAGAGAGAAGTAATCATATTTTCTCTTTTAGCGACCCAAGATTTTGGGAGCTGCCTTCAATGTATGGATGGTTAGTTGGTCAGACCCCAGCTGGTCCTCAAACTGCACCAAGTCCTGGAGCTCTTGAAACTTCACGTGCCTTTGGTGAGGTCACAAGTGTTTCACCTATCAGATCTGAACCTATGCCAAGTGGCGTGGACCATTCCCGGCTTGGTGGAAGATCTGGGTCTAGATATTGCTCTTCTGGGTCTCGGGTGATGCACTCAGCTGGACTTAATGATCGCCCACATGATGAGAACTATCCTCAATCTGTTGTTAGTAAACTTAGGTCTGAACTTCAAGCCTTGCTGGCTGCAGCAGCATCCACAGAGTTGCCATGCACGGTGAAGCTTAGAGTATGGCCATATGACATGAAAGATCCTTGTGCACCTCTTCATTCAGAAAGTTGCCGCTTAACTATTCCTCATGCAGTTCTATGCAGGTATATCTTGTAACCCAAGATGTAGACTTTTGTCTTACTTTCTAATTACTCCAAGTGAAGAATTAGTATTTTCTTTGGAGTTTCTTTGGGTGGGAGTTTTGGGGGGAAAAGGGGGGAATGGAGGGAGGGGGAATAAGGCAATTGCAGGGAACAGGGAGGTAGGTATGAACCAACAACCAAAGTTAAGACCTCTTGGGTCTTTGTGATGGGCAACCATCAATAGGCCCATCTTTTGTTCCTGATAAATAATACTTTTCCTGGTGTCCTGTTTATGCTCGCATTAATACTGGCTAATTTCCTTTTGAAATTGCTGCAGTGAAATGGGTGCCCACTTTTCTCCTTGTGGCAGATTCTTAGCTGCCTGTGTTGCATGTGTGTTGCCTCAGTTGGAAGTTGATCCTGGATTACACAGCCAGGTTGATCCCGATGTCACTGGTGTGGCAACCTCACCTACTAGACACCCTGTTTCTGCTTATCAAATCATGTATGAGCTTCGGATTTATTCCTTAGAAGAGGCAACGTAATGCTCTAGTCTTCCACCTTACTTCCATGGCTGACTTTATATGTTCTATTTTTAGATATATTCTTATATGCTTAATGCGATATGCTTTCCGTTGGTCCAGATTTGGAATGGTGCTTGCATCACGACCTGTAAGAGCTGCTCATTGTTTAACCTCCATTCAGGTCAGTCGACTAGTGTCCACTTTGGTTTGAGTTTCATGAGATTGTATGATAACTGATTTCATGATTCCTCAACTTATTTTTGAGTTTTATTGATAACTATTGTCTGAACTCTGAAGTAGTATCAAATTAACCCTGCCAAATGTTGTATCGTTTGACTTCTAGTTTATTTAGATATCTGACATTACTCGTGCAGAAATTGTGTACCTGTCAGTTGGTCATCTGATAACCTTAGCAATGACTTTGGATATTATTAGCTGCTGTATTTATGAGCATAGAAAATGCTTGGATGTGCTACTTTCATTTGCAAGTCCTTGTTTTCTTGACACACTACTTTATTGATCTTTGAGGAAGTAATGTATGGAAAGCTTTGCACATTTTTGTCAATCTCCCACTGATCTTGAGTTAATTCACGTTTATGTAGTTCTCTCCAACATCTGAACACTTGTTGCTCGCATATGGCCGTCGGCATAATTCGCTTCTTAAAAGTATTGTCATTGATGGAGAGAATACAGTGCCTATTTACACTATATTGGAGGTATGATTGAAATGCTATTTAGATGCAATTTTGAGCTTCTAGTTCCTCCTGCATTTGGCGAATCCCCCAGTTAAGGCTTTTTATTGAAGGAGCGCAGTGTGTTATTATTATTCTTTTTCTGTGGCTCGAATTACTGGTGTGCTTCTTGATGTATCTGTTGATGCATCATGCTTATTGATCTCACTGCAGCTAATTTCCCTTTTTTCCCCTACAATTATATCACTGAACTTCATTCTGCTATTCTCTTATCAGATTGAATGTGCAACATATGAGATGAAATTAAATATCACCTATCATAAATTGTCTATTAAGTCCCCATTCTGCCTTGTCAATTTGTCTGCCTCAAGCCCTCTGCGCAATATGTTCGTTGGTGATGCAGCTTTCAAATCTACATGAGCATGCTAGAAGGAATGATACTTTCTGTCTGATAGTATCATGAAATATACAAGTTAACTAAGCTATGAAACATGTGTGAGAAGAAATCCAAAAAAAACATAATGGGAAAGATTTCTTTGTCCTTTTTTCCAGCAACAAAATTATCTCCTCTTGTCTTCAGATGAGTCGTGAATTAAATTTTTATGCGGTTAATGTTATTGAAGCAATTACAAGGATGAAGAACTCATCTGCTATTTATTCGGCATGAGCACATAATGAGGGAACTCAAATTAGGGATCAGAGTTTACTTAGTTGCATTTATTTGGAACTCGAAATGTTGTACAGTTCCATTACCTCTTATCCTGCCTATAAAGCAAGAAACTTATGAGTCAAAAGGCCTCTTTTCATCTATCCTTTGCCTCTCTATCGGAATGGTAACTGTTAATTCAACTCTAGGTGCCAAGGTTCTAATTCCTTTTGGAGTAAACAGTTTCCAGAGTCCAAATCTAAGATGTCATTTGTACTTGTTGACAAAGTCAAGATATAGATCTTGCATGCATGCATATCCTGCATAAAAAGTGTAAGGATGTAGCTTTGGGGGACATTATCACCTTTTTTCCAGCATGCAGCTCAATCATGCCAGTGCTAGTGATTCCTGATGTAAAATTATCGTTCCATTTAGCACTGAAAAATTGGCAATCTGTCTGCTTTGTCATATCATTGGACTGTCATTCTGTCAAAAGACGAGAGGCAATTGCACTGCACTGTTAGAGGGAAGTTGTGCGCATTTTGAAGGAAAGCTATGGATTATTAGACTTATTGACATGAAAACTTCTTTCTAGGAAAAGAGTGTGTTTAAGGATGATGTCCATAACAATTGTTCCAATTATTTCTGTGATTTATATGCTTCACCCATTGTCATTATCCATTTCAGAAAAAGGTATGTGCTCAGCGCTTTGATTGCTTGCAACAGTTGTTTTATTACCAGAATTGGATTGACATGCCTGTTTGTATTTTATACTTGGCAAAATCTGGAATAAAATTAGCTGTACCTATGATATGAGCCCTTCAATTGATGAGCACAGAAGATGCACAAAATCCATACAGCCATGAGAAACAGGGTCATAAGTACAGCTATTTGGTCTTCATCTCCATCTTTCATTTGGGACTTGAGTTGTGGTCATTGTCACTACTAAGTATATTACAAAATGACCAAGTCGAAGGGGTAGTGATAGCATTGGTGTTGGTTGCATTTAATGGTTGAATAGCCTAGAACTGCCTCAGAAGTTGATGTCACTAATTATTGGGCATTGCTTCATGAGCAACCAGTTTCCCAATCATCTTATTTAGGATAGGCATACAGGTGATTGTCCTATCCTAGATGTTTTGTTTTTTACATACCTCTCTTACTCAAAGTTAGCAGTGAGCAATGTTCACATTGCTTATCTGGCTGTTATGTTGGGTGTTTCCATCTCCCTAAACTGGTTTCTTTAACCAGGTCTACAGAGTTTCTGATATGGAACTTGTGAGAGTTCTTCCTAGTGCGGAAGATGAAGTAAATGTTGCATGCTTTCACCCTTCAGTTGGAGGTGGCCTGGTATATGGAACTAAGGTTAGTAAATGTAATCTAATTTTCACTGGATGATCACGGGCTCACAGGCTATTCTTAAATACTTACATTTCCTTCTCTAAAAATTCAGGAAGGGAAGTTAAGGATTCTCCATTATGAAAGTTCTGGTGGCTTGAATCCAAAATCATCTGGTTTTCTTGATGAAAACATGGCAGAGGTGAACAAAGATCTGTGCTTAACTGGTGTTTGTTAGATTTATGCATTTACAGTTATTTATGAAACAAGGCCAGGCCTTTTGGCTATTGTCGAGCTTCCATTTTGTAGAATTCTTTGGTATTTGCAGCAATGCGTGCAGTGCAATGTCTTAGTTGACCAGAAATCGCCTGCTATAATTGTCTATTATCTTTTGTTGGGGTGGTGGAGGGTGGTTGTGGATATGGCTCTTTTGCAATGATAATTTACCTCTAGCTCTCAACCTAGGTCTCTATTAATGAAGTTTATGCTCATTTTACTTGAACTTGTTTTGTTGGATTGCTTTATCAAAATGACAACTTAAGGCAACATTTGATTATGTCTTAAAGTCAGTTGTTGGTAACTGAGCTGAATGAAGTTAATCACACTATGGGGGAGAATAAGTGTATATTTACATGTTGAGTGTAGCTGCATAAACTAACCTTATCTATTCCCTTTATAGGTTCCAACATATGCTTTAGAATGCTAGTAGCCTGGAAGCGCAACATGCTTGTGAAATTAACTGCTCAACCCTGAAGGTTTGTTTTTTCTTTTTCTTTTGTGCAATGGAAGTTTTGTGTCCATGAATAGTCTTAATACGGGGTTGCGATGCATAATATCATTCTGAAATGAATTTTGATTTCTTTTGGGTTTATCATTATCTTTTTATCTGTCCAAGAACCTACATTAATTTGGTGCAAGCATTGAAGTGCTATTTTGAGTGCTTGCATCTTAGAAAGACCTAGGTCCCTTTAGGAGGTAATACTTGGATTTGGGTTTAGTACTTTCGACATAAATTGAAGATAGGGGTTTCCTGCTGTGGAAAGTAAAACAGCTTGTCAAGCCCAATTCAGATGTAGCACCAAGTTTGTCATGTTGGGATCTGTGTTTTCTTCTGTTAGCAATCTTTTGAAGCATGTTATGTCAAATTGGGGAAAAAGTTCATCAATTATATTATCTGAGATAACTCATCTGAGTTGTTTTTTGGTGATAATATCGCGGATTAGATGATGAAATGTCACTTTCACTTCTCATGCAGGTTGTGGCTTGAGTGCAGTTGTATCTGTTTTTCCACGACTGTAAACCCTTAGCCATACCGTGAGGTCCTCATTTGATTACTTGTCAAATGTAGTTATGTATCATTCTTTGCTATTTGTGAGAGATGTCTTCCACTTCCAAGAGCCTTGGAAAGTTGATCTAACTTGGAAGTAGATGTGTTAGTGCAAGATGTCTCTGGATTTATGTTAAATGTGTATGTCTGTTTTGATCCCACTGACTATTGTATAGGGGGGAAAAAGGAAGTGTTTAATTAATGGACTTCAAGATTTGCCTGTTTTCTGTTCTTTCTCATCATTGTAAGGATGTTGTTTATAAATCAAATGTAAAGTATTCTTCTCTGATTACCTTGCTATGGAGGTGATCTAGTCTATGTGAGTTGGGGTTTTTTCCTTGCAAGTTCAGCACCAATGGGTTTTAAGCATTAGCCCCTTATAAGAGATTAGACTGGCACCAAATTTCCGTCCCGAAGATTTGATATGCTTTGGGGCGTTTAGTGGACTGTGGAAGGAGACATGTGGAAAATGGCGGAGCGAGTAGTTCTTGCCACAAATTATAGCCAAGATCTTTGCTTATCAAAGGTGGGTGCCGTTTCGCGGCAAAATGGCATCGACCTGCTGTTTTAATCAGCTCGAACAGTTGTCATTTTCCTGATACTCTTATCCCTGATGAATGTATATAGTTGGTTCTCTCTTCATCAGCTCTTGGTTTTCAATTTTCTAAATCATTGGTTCTAGCACACCAATCTCGGCACTGGAAGAACTAATATCTGTTTGACTGGTTATTTTGTCACGGGATGCAGGCGGAGCGAGGAGAGAGAACGAACGGTGACTTGTGCCGTTATCATTTTGCTCTAACTGTCAAGATTATCGCCGAACTCGTAAGTTGGTTGGAGGGTACCTCTCAATTCTGAGTTCTACCCGAGTCCGAAAAAAGGAATCCCTGATGAGAGCCAATTGGCGAAGTACTCGATATCTCGCCATCCGATTAAGAGACCACTCTACGAGTCGCGGGATTCATGAAATGCGCTCGCTCTTGCAATGGGTTTTTAGACGCGTTTCATAAAACAGTTCCCCTTCTATACTGGTTGCGGTATGGTAACTGCTCAGGCCGTGGAAGTGGGAACAGACCCAGTCTCGAGTGCACCTAAGTTCTAACAAAACCAACATTTCATACCTGTCATTTCATCTCACATATTCCAGTTTTGATGACATAAGGGCAATTGATTGGTGAAACCATAAAGCACTTTGGTTCCGTTTGTTTCACGAAAAATAAATGATTTGAAAAATATTTTCCTAAAAATGATCGTTTGTTTTGCTTGAAATAAGTAGTCAATGCAAAATGCTTTCGTGATCGACAACAATTTATGCCTAACAATTTTCGTGAACGATGAAAACAATTTTGGATCATTCGTTTTTATAAGCAATACGTACAATTATTTTGAAGAAAGATTTTCAAATTAATTTATTTTCTGCGAAACAAGTATACCCAAAGAGATGGCAAAGTCGTTGACGATTGACATTATCCCTAGCTGGGACAGATTCCTTTGATACTTCATCTGTTGCTCACTCTACTGTATTACGAGTTCACGACATCATCTATTTCTCATGTTTGCAGTTCGGCAATCAAACTTCCATAAAATGGAATTTCCTTGAGTTCATGGAATACAGCAAGATCTCCATATATCCACACCCGACACTATATTCTGATCCGGAATCTTTTTGTTATAACTTCAGTGCAAGTACCGCCATTCCTCATGTTCTGGAGCCTTCAATCGCTAGATCGCGACCCCGTGTTCCTTCACCTATTCAAGCCGGCACGTTGACCTAATACCCTCTGTCCAATCCCCACATGGTACCTAAGTTCCAGACACTAGCATGAGGCAAACATCATGGGGATGATACTATCTCTTTCCAACAAGCCTTACGCATTAGATAACAGTTAAATATGGCCTAATTCCTCTACCAAGTGCATAATTTCACCAGCTGCAACATCAGCTTCATCTTTCACAATAGCATGATACATCTTCACGAAACATTTTGGCTGATAATTATACTACGACAATCAAGAAAATTAACATCAAGTTACATCACCTTCGCGCACAGTGCTTGAATGATTGGGTGATGATCGTTCTAATAGTACAAGTAAGAAGGCTAGTCGTAATTGATTGACCAACATAACATTACAGGTTAAATGCGTTCTCGCAAATATGAAAACACACTACCTAGAGAGAGCTCTTCTATTTAGATTTATTTAAGTTTTAGAGGTACTCTCATCGATGGGACTTATACACATATGCAAAAAAATGCACAGAAAATTTCATCTATCTTCAGATTGACAGACAAGAAACTATATCATAACAGACACAATACTGATGAGGAATTATTGGCCCCTTAGAGCCTACCACTATCACCCCAGCGGTCACTTAAACACACCACTAGACTGCAAACGCGGAGAACGATTTGCCCAGCAAAACACTATATAGTGCCTGCAAGATCCTTGGCACTTTAAACAGTTGTTAAGTTCGGCAGTATCCTCGGTCGCAGAATTACCTTCTTCATATCCGCTTTTAGATAAAGAAACTTCCGTACAACGGAACTTCACCAAAGCATCATCATCACCACATCCAGCAAATGTACATCTACCCTTTCTATGCTGTGTTCCATCCCAGAACTTTTTACAATCTCTCGACTTAGACCACCTCTATCCATCTCGCAATTCATAATGCCTTCAGTCAGTCATCAAAAGTTGACTCTTTGGTATTCCACATGATGGCATAGCGCGATTAACCTTCCTAAACCCTCTGCTGCCACCTAATATGTGTCTAAGTCACAGACATCGTGACACTTGAGCATCCCACCACAGGCAATTCTCGAATCTGAAGGACAAAGAGGGCACATTACTCCTCCTGGAAGACACTGCTTTTCGAAAAGCCAATCTGGCATTGTAAACCACACTCCCCTGTAGTAAGCTAGACATAACAATGAATCCATCTAGTTTTACAGGTCAAACCAAGTGGATTCATGACCTGACTCAGACTCACTCATACATCTTATCACCACGAAGTGACGCAAATCATCTAGCTGCTAGAGCATATCCAGTGAAAGAAAGATATATTCTATCCGAGCCGTTTTGCTACTTTATGACTCTATATAGCTTGCTAACTTCGTTAGCTCATGGGCAGGCAAGTGTCCCTATATCTATACCAACAAGGTCTTCAATTCAGTTCCAATTTATCAGCAACTTAATAGGATAATAAGTTCAACAATGTGCAAACATCCAGGATCTAGAATTAATCCCGACAATCAGCTAAAACCCATAAAAGCAATTCGTAAACCCTGCACAAGGGTTAGCACCCCTTGCCCCATATAGTTTTACCCATTGGCAGAAGGACAAAAGGCAACCATCTCCGAAAACTACCCGGACTGCAAAACAGACAGAAACAAACACCATACAATCTCGAATCTGCTTCGCCCCCCAAACTAATCAATGAGAGATGGTATCAAACACTCAATGCTCTATCCACTAGTACACAATCACAGACACTTGCACCGGGGAGCACCGGTGCGCGCGAGCAAATCGATACCCACCTTTTCCCCGAAACCTCCCTCGAGGACATTCAAAAGCAGCATTAACATTGCCTAGACATCAAATGCGGATTCAAAAGCCGAGTTCAAGATGCCAATTGAATTGGGGTCGGGGGTTTCATGTGCGGATTCATCAAAGGGCCGAGAACCATATGATCGATATAGCAATACGCAAACAAACAGTCAATTTCTGAATATATATTTATATGTCTCTATACTGAGGAAGTGATTAACAGCAATCCCATCACACCGACAACTGGAAACCTAGGACGGAAAGACGCGAAGCCGCGCGGAGGATGGGAGGGGAGGTGGGTGGTGAGATGGAGAGCGATGATGACTGATGGGATCGGATCGAATCAGTTGATGTCGGAGTCGTCGAAGTCGTCCTCGAAGGAGTTGAAGAAGTCGGCGTCGGCGAGCTTGTTGTCGACGGAGAGGACGCCCTCGCCGAAGATCTCGAGCGGGTCGACGTCGTCCACGTCCATGGCCACCGTCGCCCCCTGGTCCTCAAGCTCCGCGAAGTAATCCATCGGCGTCGGTCTCATCTTCTCTCGCTCGCTCGCTCTCGCGCTCCCTCGCACCGACGTCGATCTCGCCGTTCAGCGCTCCACCTGCTTGTGCAAATGCTCGTGTGGGGGGGGTTGACTCGCCGGGTGCAAGAGTGCATTTTATATGTATACGATGAGATAATTACGGGGATGATGACGTGGCGATTGCTCGAGAAATTTGTCAATTTTTTTTTTGCGGTAAATCATTTCCAATTTTTTTTTCCTAACATGATGATGACGTGGCGGGCGCTTGCCGGATCTGGCGAGGCCCGAGCTCGCCCGACCGACCTTGGGCGAGCTCGGCCGCGCCGGATTAGGCCAGCCGGAGCCTCGCCACAGGCTGGCGAGGCTCGACCTGGCCGATCTCCGGCCGACGCCGTGGCCGGCGACCGGCTAAGGAAGAAGAAGAAGAAGGAAAAAAAAAAGAAAAAGAAAAAGAAAAAAAGAAAAGAAAAAAATTTAAAATATTTTTAAAAATAAAAAATCATTAAAATTAGTGCAAGGAAGAAAATTTTTTCCATACCGAATAACGGAAAATATTTTCCGAAACTTTTTTAGATTTTAGCCGAACATCGGAAAATTATGTCATTTTTCAGGAAAATGACTTCCTGGAAAATATTTTTTAGAAACGTAACATTTTCTGCGAATAGAATGACTACTGAAATTAACGATTGGGAAATCATTTGTATATAGCGAAATTATAAGTCGAGGTGTTTTAGGATTTCCAGGTTGCGGACACCTTCAAAGTTTCAGGATCGGAAATAGGTATATATATACACACATGCAGCTTAACCGTGAAAAGTTGAGAAGTGATAATCTTGGTAATTTCTTAATTTTTTTGCTCAATATTTTTAATCCCTGAATTAATTTAATTTAAAAGTTCAATATCACATATTTCTTTTCTCATTGTAAAGAGCCACATGAGCGCAATCGAACCACGAGAATGACATGAACTGGTGGTAGCTTTGATGATGGATTGGGGAACTTGTTCGTCTAAAAATTGGGAGGAATCATCCTTTGTTCTCTCACGACCTTCGCATAATAGAGATTCCTAAATTTCGTCCCAAGTGGAACGAGAAATTAAAAGTCCACTTTAACAACATGGAGTATCAATTCGTGTCGTTGTAATTAAAAAGGGTTAAATATCATTGGAAATTTCAAATTGAACAACATGACACATTTTCCTTGAACTAATTTATCGTCTCACAAACAATTCCAAACTCATAATCCCGTGACATATTCACCATAAACTAATTCTCGTCGCTCGAGAAATCTCAAGATGGTTCATCGAATTTGAATGGGAAAATGACACAAATAGTCATTGAACTTTGGCCAATGTGTAATGTAGTCCATGAACTTTTAATTTGTTTAATATGGTCCATGAACTTTTAATTTGTTTAATATAGTCCATGAACTTTTAATTTGTTCAATATGGTTCCTGAACTTTTAATTTGTTCAATGTAGTCCCTGAACTTTAGCTCAATGCGCAATGTCATCCCCAGACTTTCAATTTGTTCAATGTGATTCCCGAGTCTTTTATATATATTTAATTTAATCCCTGAACTATATGAAAATGTTAAATGTTGTCATTTAATTAATTCAAGTTCGTGGACAACATTTAACATTTTCTTGTAGTATTCATGAACCACATTGAACAAATTAAAAGTTCAAGGATCATATTAGACTATTTGTGCAATTATCTCGATTTGAATATACTAGCTCACAATGCGGTGGGTGCGTATGTAACATTTTTGTTCCTGTGACCAATTTCTGTTTAGAAATAGCTTTTTCTTTGTCTATTTTATGGACAAGTTTCTGAGCAAAAGAACGCTTTTGGTAACTGTACAAAATTTCTATTCCCGGAATAGAAAAAGAATAAAGATGCGTGTGGTACGATCCTAAAAATTTATATTCTCATTTTTTTCATTTAATTATAAAAATGTCAGTGGAGACTTAACAATTCATGTTTGGATAAATCTGGATTTTTCTAAAGACTTAACTGATCAAGATATTCCAAGATAGCCTTAGAAAATCCAACATTATAGTTAGTCAAATATGGATGGCTGAAAATGGCAGCAGAGAGTTCTATCGGTTTGTAACTCGCAATATGAGGAGGTTGACATAAAATCTTGGGGCATTACAGTAAACATGTGCATAAACATTTTGAGCTTTAAAGTGTAAGGTGTAGGATTTAGAATTTTATTGTTTAGATTACGTTGAGCTTATTTCTCTAAAATGACCTTGTTTCTCTTTTTGTTTCCAGAAACAAAAAACATAGATTTTTTTGGGAAAATTGTTAGAAATGTCCTAAACCTTTTACTTTTGTACCAATTTAGTCATAAACATTTATTTTGTGCCAATTGAATCCTAAACCTTTTGTCTTTATGCCAATTTAGTCCTTCCGGCTAATTTTGATCGAATATTGCTAACGTGAACCCCAGTTGGTCTATGCGGCACAGCCGGCGTTGACGTGGATAATTTTTAATAATAGTTTCAATATTTTCGATTTTTTTCATTCTTTTATTTTTTTTCCTCCTTTCTTCTACCTTTGGGCGGTGATCAGTGTTCGGTCACTAGTCATGGCAAGCCACTTGGCCTCGCTTGGGCAAGGCCACCACCGCCCTAACAAGGTTGCAGTCACCTGACATAGGCAAGGCTTGGCGGACTCTCGCTTGGGCGAAGGCTAGCCGTAGCAAGGGCAAGCAAGGCCTGGTGAGGGTTGGCTTCACTCATGCTTGTGAAGGTGACACTCGGCGAGGCCGCTGGGGCCTAAGTGAGGGCCGGCCTCTTCAGATTTGGCCTGGACGAGGGCGACCCTCGCCAGATCTGGCGAGGTTGGCCCTTACCCAGGCTACGGCGGCCTCGCCGGGGCACACCCTTGCCCAAGCGAGGGTCGGCCGAGCTTATGGCGAGCGATGGTGGCCTCATTCGAGTGATGACGACCTTGCCCAAACGAGGCTAGGTGACTGGCCATGGCCAATGTCCGGTCACTGGTGTCGCGACCCTTCTTTTTCCGTCATGGAAAAAAGGAACGGGTTTAGGTGGTATTGCCCAAAAAGGCGGACCGATGGCCCATCAATCTAGACGCGAACTCTCCCCAAGTTCATACCCCGCGCAACGTTGGATTTCATTTTGAATTCTCGATAACTTAAGTACTTCTAGGAGTCGCCACTAGCCTATTGGGGTCGGCTAGAAACCAATCAAGGCGCGGGAGTGTCGCCTCGATTCCTACGCAACCAGAGCTTCTAGGGCCGGGGACTTGTTTACACTAACATTTCTATTAACGCCCTTTCGGTATCTAACTTGAGAGTGCATTATCTAAGTGGTCATGCGATCTTGATCACCAATTATAATCCTATGATATCAAAGCCGCTAAGTGTCCTTGCAAGTGTTTTTGTGGGATTGTTTTCTTCAATGTCTAGATTAATACTAACCTAATTTAGGAAAGAAATTAACACTCAAATTATTGAAAAAAAGCAGAGCAGTAAGTAAACATCCAAGAAATTGAAATGACTTGAAAGTAAACGCGGAAAGAGAAAACCCGATACAAGTCGGGCAAATAATATTACATGGCCTCGTTATCATGCCCCGGGACAGGGCCCCCATGAGCAAAATGAGAATTTAAATATGCATGAAATTACTCTAGCTACACAAAACTATTCTAAGTAATTTTAGTCTATGCAAAATGGATTTTTTTTTGGCCGTAAAAATGGTAATAAAATACCAAAATAGCATTAAATTAGGCAAATGACTTTATAAAATTAGGAAAATCTCATAAATGTCATTTTTTGCATAATTTGATACTATCCAACATTTTTCATTTTTTTTGAAATTTTCTGATTTTTTTTTCATTTTTTTAAAAAAGTAATAATTCCCTAAATCGGTCTATGCTCGGTTTACGCGAACATGAAACAACTCAGAATATGAATATTGCAAGAACCGGGCTCAAATCAACCGTTTCAAGCTCGAAGCTTGGTTTGGGCATTTCGTCGAGCATTTGGTGTGCATTAAACTGCCCCAAATGGCTTCCTCGAGCCATATTCGTGGCCTTCAATCTCACTCCGTGTCTGATATCAAGTGGAACCAAAGTATCAAGGTTATATTATCACATGTAAAGAAAAATATTAGCTGTAAATCACATCCTAAAACGCACAAGAACCAAGTTGGAATCGGCCTCCAATATGTGGGTTCGGACTGCTTTTGCAAATCTGGGTTTAAACCCAGGTCAAGCAAACCTGTTGCATGCCCAGGTTTAAGCCCCGACACTCATCTCGTGCAAGATCTATGGGAAACATCACTTCATCCAAAAGAATATACGTAACATCTAATTTTAAATGAAACAAACATCATGGAGAATGATCAAGTGAACGCGTCGAAACAACCCCTCCAAGAAGCATACACACATGGTTCATAGTGACTAGCCATGAATCAATGTGGGTTAGCTTGGCTTTTTACTCAAGTTTCAAGCCATCTCATGGTTCACACGGGGCTTCAAAGACCAAATCAAGTGGATCTCAGCATAATTTGTACACCCATATAACGTTCATCAAGCTCATGAAGGTAGAAAACGCATGCAAAGGGGACTAGCAAGTCAAACATATAGGGCTCATGAAGGGGCTCCAACACCTACAAAAATTCCGGCCTCAGAAGTCAGTTCTCTGGGCTGGTTTTCTCTTGATTTTTCATGACTAAAACATGTTCAAAATTGAACAAAAATACATGTAGGATACTCACCTTGCTTCCTAGTTTCTCTTTGAAGTATCCCTTGGCCGAGGGAACCAAAAACTTGTCTTCGAAGGGCGCGGGGAACTAGGCTTCTTCAAACTGGAAAATGAGATCTGCAAAGAAAGAACTGACAACGAAGGTTTTTGTTGGTCTCCAAAACCAGAATCAACGACCTCTTTTTCTGACTAATTTGACACCAAACCAAACTATATGTATTATAGTTTAATTTTCAAGTCACAGGTATCCTCATATATTCCTCATGTCTCTCAAAACCTCCCACTTTCCCTCACCAGTAACCGTCGGACTTCAACACTTTGAAGATTTCTGGGTTTCTCTCTTGACCCGAGAATGGGCTGCTTTTCGAGGGGATTTTGGGTGGCTTC